TGCAGATTGACACGGGGACTCTCTTACTGAATCAGTGTTTGGTTTTGCTTTTGTTTGTTTGACTTGATTTTGTTTACAGTTTTCCAGCCAAGACTTGATTTACTTTGGAGTCTTTAAAACTAAGAGCACAAGTGGCTCTGCTTCCTTTGGGCATGAGGATAAAAAAAATAACTGTGTGTGTGTGTGTGTGTACACATAATTCCAGCCCTGAGGGTGCTGGGTTTGCTCAGGAGGAATTTCACATTGGGTTTGCCCTACGGGGGGCTGGGGTCTCTGGATGCAGCTGTTCCCTCCCAAGCCTGCTCACCGGAAGCTCCAACCAAATTTTTCCATACATCCCATCAACTCTGTGAAATTTTCACCCTCTCTTCCAGAGGTCTCCAAAGGAGCCCCTCCGGGAAGCCGGGCATGCTGGCCAAGCTTGTTTTTGTGACAGCAGAGCATGACCCCACGCGTTAAAAGCCCAGCAGTGGGAAGGATGCCTCTCCTGCAAGCAGGGGAAAGCCACTGGGATCGCCAGGCAGGGGGGGAGGAGTCCTCGGCTCCCCTCTCCTGGAGCTCAGAGAAACCTCCCTCTTTGGGAGGCAGCCGGGCAGCAGATGGCCGGGCTGCGGCGCTGAGCTGTCAGGGGGTGGTGTATCATTTCTCTGGCTGTTCTGGACGCTGATACCCATGTTGGAGAGCAGCCCCTCCTTCAACTTGCTCCATCTTCTTTATGCCCTGATTTTTTCACAGCTGCTACTAAAGATCACAGGCAACTTGAGCTGCAGCCTTGCTGGTGCTCTTGTGGATTGTCTGACTCTGTTCTTCCTCTTTGACATGGATGTGCTAGGTCTTGTCCTTCCCTGTGCCCCATATTTCCTTTTGTATATGCACAGGTCTGCAACATGCGATTAAAACTTTCAACCACAGTTGCAATTCAGCTTTGACCTCCTTTCTAATCTTTGCAAAAAAAGATGGGGATCTCTAGCAAAACAACCCTTTGGTTTCAGAACGCAGCCAGAGATGAGACTAAGAATTGCATTGGGCTCAGGAAAAATCATCTGCATCTGTGTGGGACGTATCACACAGATATGCAGGTGCTATTCCAGCACTGCCCCACTACAGCTATCCAAATTGCTTTGCACATCGGGGGGCAACTGCAAAGTAAGAGATGTTTTGACAAGTGAGGGAAATTTTGTCACAGTTTTCTGGAATGCTAATGGTGCTAGTGAAGTTGGGATGGAAGAAAGGGGTTGGAAGGATGAAGTTTTACAGTTGCAGAGTACTCTGAGGTACCTTTTCTAATCTCACTTGATTTCTGTAATACTTTTCCTTGGTTTAATGAGCTGTATGGAAGATGGTTATGCTGTACGTGAGGAAGTGGTTGACATGTGGTGACAGTCGTGCCTGTGGTTTCACACTTTTTTGTAAATTGTTTCTAGAACTCCCAATTTACTTTCAGAAGAGAGTTGGTTTTCCTTTGGATATGTGCCCCGAGACAGAGTATGTCCATGTACCAGTTCAGCCTCCTTGGGAGTGCTTCAATTTGTAGAGGAAGGACATTGCTAACCTAACATTGCCTCCATTAGTTGAGTGTTTTTACAAGTCTCAGTAATGCTGAGAACCTCTGGAGAAGAGAAACATCTGTCTCAGTTGTCTCCCTCCTGCCTTTTTCCCACCTAAAAAAGGGTTTTCAGAGGTTCTCAGTTGCAGCAGAAACTCTGTAGGACTTAGCATACCTGCAAGTGTATTACTGTCCTATTAGTGAACTTGAAAAAAAAGGTATTTAACAGACTGTATCCAGGTCATTCCATTCCTGGACCCTGTCTCTCTGGTTCTTGGTTTTGAATTTTAATTCTGAATAGTTAGCACTGAGCATTTCTGCTCAGAAAACCCAAGGGCAGGGTTGTCACAGATTGCTCTGCTTCCTGCAGATTTTCTTCTCCAAATCCCTTTTCAAAGGGAAGTGTAATAGAGACAGGGTGAGTGAAACTAACTGAAGGTGTGGCAGACAGGCTGAAGACGAGCACCCTACATTTGTCTGGAGAAAAGAGGTCAATTCCCATTAAGAGGGAAAATATAAATTGGGCAAGATTGAGAGTGATTGGGAATGCCTTGAGACATCTGTTTCCCATCTCTGGTTCTCATTTCTATCCTTATTCAAAGCGACAAATGCACAGTAGCTGTCTTTGAAAATTGATGGGGGTAGGAACTCAGAAGTACTCTTAAGAACAGAGCTTGTAATGCATTGAACGCTGGGCGGATGGTGGAAATTTCTAGTGTTAGCCACTTATGTGAAAGTCAAACTCAAACCAAATTGGTTAAGTCAACAGAGCCAGTCCCCAGGAGGAAAGAGAGCTACATAGGCAAAGATTTCAGATGATCTTCTGGAATTGAGGGGCTTCCTGGATCGGTTTTCTTTGAGAGCAGCCAAAATGATAGAGCAAGATGAGTGAACTCATGCAAGCAGCAAAAGTATCTGTCTGATCCCGTTTTTTCCATGCCTTTCTCCCTTTTTTCTAGGTAGAAAAAAAAATTTAGCCAGAAAAAAATAGGAGCAGATAAAACCCTGTTACTTTTGTTGCTTCTTCCTGGCCAATCCTTGTCACTCACTAGTCATTCAGGATCCTAGGGAAACTTTTTTCAGGCAATTTTATTGGAAATAGCCAGAACCTCTGTATCAGACTTGATGAAATTATCTTCTGCCTTGAGCTCTGACAGAGTGGAAGAACTGAACTTGGGGGGCTGAAACTCGAATGTTCTCTGGGAGCTTACAGTCATTTCCCTTTTGCAACAGACTAAGCTTTCCTGCTTTCCTGCTTCCAGGAAAAGATATTCTCATCACTCTATTCTGAAAGCTAGACTGTCTTTTTCTTTCTTTTTTTTTTTTTTTAATCTAATGGCTTTGGTAAATATCTAACATTCAAGATGTGTGATCAAATAGCACTCTTAAAAAGTCTATAAAGGGAATCTATTATTGCACTCTTTGCCAAGTTGAAGTCCTTGCTGGAAGTTGGGTCTTGAGTTAAATGAGGAAGACACTGGGGATGCACAGCTGCTCCAGGTAGGTGTATGCTGCATTGAATATTTCACTTGACAAAAGGATATTTGCTGTCATTTTTACCCTAAAATTACTACTTGAAGCAGCACATACATAATTTCATAAAATGTCAGTTGTCAGTTCTCCCTTTTTGACTGAACTTTGTCAGCATAGGGGGCTGTTTCAAGTTGCATTTGTGTGACTGCTGATATTAGTGGGAGTGAAACAACCAGAGGGCTGGTGACAGTCATCGGGTGAGAGGACGTATCCCTGGGAGGTCAGCTTGCATTTGACGTCAGAAGGAAGCAGACTGGTGAGGAGTGATCTGCAGGGTGGTAGCACCAACTTCTCTCTACTCAAGGAGGAAGGGAAACGCTGCCAGGTGGACATGGCTTGAGGCATCTGTTCCTTCGTTCTTGCAGTCACTGTCCAGTCATGCTCCTTGCAGAGAAGTCCAGTCTTTACCAAATGTGTGAAGACCTCTGTCTAATAGCTAACTTCTTGTTGACTTTTAACCATCTTTCTTCAGTTGGATCACACTCCTCTATCTCTTTGTTTAAAAATAATAGCTTTTGTGGAAGTTAGCGATTTCTCAGGGAAATGCAATTCTGTGGTGCTGGCGCGATTCCATTAATCATATAGAGTAATCTGCTTGTGCCAAAAACCTATCAAGTTGAGCTGCCTTTTTGAGAGCTGGTGGGAATGTGTACCCAGTGGTGTTCTTGCTGGCATATGGACTTCCCGTGTGTGCAAGAATGGCTGGGGCATGGGGGGGGTCCCCCTTTGCTGTGCTCAGGGTACAGCAACTTGAGCAGGCTGAGTGAGCCTGGCAAGTCTCAGGACTCAAAGTGATATGGACAGATCTTCAGAAAGTTTTATATTTAGGGACACATGGACTCACCAGCCCTTTTTCATTCCCTACCCTGAAATTTTCAGCATTCAGAATAAAGGCTTATGTCTCATTAAAATACGGACAGGAGTTCCTTTAGCCTTAAGCTCCATCAACAGTCAGATAGGGACATTTACCCTCAATGACAGACAAGGGTAAGAAATGTCTGCTTCCTTGAGTTATATGATGAACTGCTGGGAATGAAAGTGGGACTTCATGTGGCCCAGCTAGAAGATGAGAGAGATCGGTTTAGTAGCAATGTTTATGAAGAGCTTGAATGTTCAGCTTGATCATCTGGGAGACTACAGAGGACAGAGCCCTCTGGGTGGAGCCCTGTTTGGGACGTACACTCATGCTGGGGATGAGCCTCGTTGTGTGTCAGGGTCCAAGCCATGTGTGTTAACTGGGCTGTGCTGATGTCCTGCCAGAGGCACTGATGGAGGGAGGAACAGGCAGAAAGTGGCAGCACCTTTGGGGATAGAGGGAGAGACGAGTATGGGCCACAACAGGAGTATGGGAAGCATAAATCAGCAAAGTGGGGAGGAGGTGATGAGCTATGGAAAGTTTCAGGGCACTGAACTTAGGCGTGGAAAACTACTTTAGAGGCAGAGGGAGTGGAGCAGGGCTTGGCAATGACAGATGTGAGGGGCAAATGAAAAGCTGAAGAAGAAGGTTTAGGCATCAAATGGGGAGAGGTGCAAGGGGATCAGACCAATAACCTTTGTTGCATCCTATTTTAGCAAAGGGTGGATGTTGGTGCTAGAACAAGGCACTGCCCATTAGGATAGAAAGGGGATGAGGCCAAGTTGCCGTAATGTTTAGCTCGTTCTTTCAGCTTAGAAGGAAATAACAGTAATGCAGAGCCCTACAAGCTGTCTGCGTATAGTGTGAAATCCCATGGTGTTGCAGTGAGGTTCCTGTGTTTTGGGAATATGGGTTACAGAGCTGTACCCAGCCATAGCTGTCGTGAGGCACCATTTTCCTTCAGGTGATGTCTCTGTGTTATGTTTGTTCAAGTTGCTTGGTGCACCAGGTGTTTCTGGCATGGCAAACTACAGTAAGTGTGTGGGACTTTTTTCCCTTGGTTAGATCCCAGACGTTTCACAGCTACCTGGAGGACATCATCAACTACCGCTGGGAGCTGGAGGAGGGGAAACCCAACCCCTTGCGGGAGTCCACCTTCCAGGAGCTGCCCCTGCGCACCCGGGTGGAGATCCTGCACCGCCTCTGCGACTACCGCCTCGATGCAGACGATGTCTTCGACCTCCTCAAGGTGCTTTGGGCAGCAGGGATGGGGGAAGCAGGAAACAGTGTGGCTGTAGGAGCTGGGCCAGACCCATGACTTTTACTGGGAAGAGAGGAGTAGATGCTTTTCAATGTATTTTAAACCAGGTAACCAGGTGGCGACACAGTGGATTGGCGGTTCTCCATCTCCTCCTCTGCCTTGCAGAGGACCCAAGGCGAGTGCCCAAGGCTTGGGCCCTTGTCCTCTGCGGATGTATTCATAACATGAGAGTTGCCAAGCAAATTGGCTTCATTGGCTACTCTTCCTGAGAAGAGTGAATTTGGAGATGCTCCAATGGCAGGGCTGTGAGAGCTGAGACTGCCTTGCTGAGGGATGGTGTGAGATGAAAGGATGGGGCTGAAGTATACTGGGGGAGCTGGGGGAGGGTAGAGGCAGGGGGGGGGGGGAGGGAGCTTCTCAGGGCTGTGCGTGACTGTCGCCAGCACTAATTAGACCTTCCCTGTCAGGAGCACCAGAGATGAAATGTTAAAACGAGAGAGGCCATTCAAATTAGAGATGCCAATCTAAATCCCTCCCTGGACAGAGAGCGAACAGTCGCCTTCCCCCTGGAGTAACATTTTCCCAGCTCGGCCGGGAGGAGCAGCTGTACTGCTGCTGTGGCGTGGTGGGAGGGAAGGAGGGAGGGAGGGAGGTGTTTGCGGAGGGGTGTCATCATGTTTTGTGTGACAATTGTGGCCGCTTTTCAACTTGTCACCGTCTGGCGGGGGGCTCCCGGTGGGCGCAGGGCCTGGACGCCGACAGCCTCCGCGTGGAGCCGCTGGGCGAGGACAGCAGCGGGGCCCTGTACTGGTACTTCTATGGCACACGGATGTACAAGGAGGACCCGGTGCAGGGGAAAACCAACGGAGAGCTGGCTCCAGACAGGTAACAACCCACACACATCCCCCCCCCCCCCCCCCCCTCGGGGGGGAGGGGGCGAGGGGGGCACAGCCAGCCCAGCTGGAGGGGGCTCCGCCTGACTGCTGTTGTGCCGGGGTGGGGGGGCCTGGGAGAGGCCGGGGCAGTGTGGGGCGAGACTGGAGTTGCCAAGCAGACAGCGGAGCTGCCCTGCGCCGCGCATTGTGTCGGAGCCAGCCTGCAGCCTTTGTGGCACCAGGAGAGCCTGCTGTGGGAACGATGCTGCCTGCCCCACTGCATTCCTGCCTGTCTGCCCCGCACCGTACCGTGCCGTGCCGGCGGCTCCCAGAGCAGGCTCCCAGCCAGTGGGAATCCCTCCTCTCCCCTCCCCATCTTGTTGCTGCTCTGATTTAATCCCTCCTTTGGTTGGGTTCCTAGCAGCTGTTCCAATTTCTGTGCCCTTCTCCCATCCTGCCAGCCTCAGTTCCCTTGCTCAGCACATATTTCATGGTGGTTTTGCCATTTTTCAGGGGATGTGGGGGGCAGACAAACACCCCAAATGTTCCTGGGAAAACAGGCAAGAGACGAGGGCGACCTCCAAAGCGGAAAAAACTACTGGAGGAAAATTTGCTGAGGTATGGAAGGGTTCTTCCTGCAACAGACTTAAAATACATATGTTCCCAGAGGAAAGTATAATGTAGTTCTGGGGTTCCCCCAATAAGTATGTATATACCATGCAGCCACAATTTCAATGCATATCTGAAGCAAAACAAGCTCAGACTTGGTGGATGCTTTGATCACTCTCCAAAGCAAATTCTGACTGAGCTGGAAGTTCGGTGAAACAGTGGGCATCACTCTTCCAACCACCTCACTTCAAATGCAGTTCCAGTGTGCAGTGTTAGAGGATTTGCTCCTGATAAGAACACTTTCACTGTGTAGCACTTGAAGCCAAAAATCCCAGCCACTTGAGTCAGTATAGATTTCGGGATGCTTACACAAGAACTGAAATACTGTACTTGCCTAACTTCAGCCTGCACCCTTCACTTTTAAAAACTTTATGAAGCTATGATAAATATATATGTGAAAATATATATCAAACGTGTGTTCTGCAGGGTGTTTTTTTCATGGTTTTGCTGTGCATTGAATAGTTTCTGTGTCCCCCATTCTTCTTAGAAGCAGCTGCATTTCACATGATGTGAAGTAATGTATTTATTGTATCACTTCTTCTCTTTCTTTTTTTTGGTAGAGAGAAGGCAGAAGAGAACTTGCTAATCCATGAGACTCAGATAAGAAATGGTAAAGAGATTTTGCGGCATCAGGGTTGATACTATCGGCTAACATAGTTCTTAAATTGTCAAAGCTCAGAGAGATGTCTGTAACAACCCAGCCTTTCTCAGGAAAGAGAGAGTCTTTCTGCTGGTGGTTGGGGCCAAGTTGGGAAGGAGGGATTTGCAAGGATTACAGGCTGCCTTGCAGCTGGGAGCCTGGGCACATGTAGGCTTCCTATCTTATCATGGATGATTTTGGAAGGAAGAAACCTAACCTACTGGGATACACTAGACCTTGAGGGCTCACCTACAAAAATGGGTTGTGAATGGTCCTCCCTCTTCCAGGCATGAGGTAAACATGTGGCCCTGTTGGTAGCTGGTGTGTTTTTTAGGGCTGGGAAGAGAGTGTGGTCAGTGATGCCAAGACAGAGAAGGAAAAACCTTTCTGATCCTCCTCACTTCTCCTTCCTGGTAGCCATTCAGTGGCTGAGCACAGTAAATGACATCTTGGGGGTACCTACCTAAGGGTTAACAAGGCAAGCAGAAAGAATCAGTTGGCAACACGATGTGAATGTGAGTTCAAGGGAGCTGGGACTCATTTGTCATACATGTGTATCCACTGGCTTCCACAAAACCCAGGGACTCGGCCTGCCTGTTCCCTCACAATAAAAGGCAAGGGTGGCATTGTCTTTCCCATGCCTCCTTCCCTTTGCCCTTTGTCTTCTGATTTCCTGGTGGCTGCTCCAGAGCTGGGCGGCAGAGCCAGAGCGGTGCGCGTGAGGCGCTGGGGGTTTTATCAGATCATTGTCTTCCAGCAAATTGTGTCACTTCAGCTGCAGAGTAATCTTCTGGTGGCACAAAGCAGTGCCTTAGTCCTGTTTGCTATTGAAATGAGTTCTCTGTAGGCAGCTGGCAAGGGAATAGGAAACAAGGGTACAGGGTTTGGGGGCAGCATGCAGGTAAGCTCCCCCCTGCAGGTGGGCAGATGGCTGGTCCTTTGCCATCTCCGTTACTAGTCCCCAGAGCATTCACTTGAGCTGAAGCTGAGGGTGGGCTCAAGTCCAGGCTGGCCTTTGACCCAGAGCATGTGCTCACTCTGTGCCACTGCCATGGCACCCAGGCTTCTGACAGAGGGCAGGTGGCTGGGGGGAGGCTGCAGCTTCCCGATCTTCCTAGGGCAACTTGACAGCTTGCATGCCAGAGGCACTTGCAGCTTAGATCCATAAAGGGCCCAGAATCAGGTTCAGAGAGAAAGCGGCTCTGGTTTTTTATCTCTATATATTTTTCGTTGTTAATTTGCTTGAAAATGTGATGAGAAGGTGCATGACATCTGCCAGTGGCAGTGGTGGCCATTGCTTTCTTTCCAGGAGCCAGTGGTTAGCTCTAGAAAAGTCTAGAGAACTCCCCAGCCTGAAGGTGTTTGATTCAAGACTCACCCCCCCCTTCTCCCAAGTGAAAAAAAAAGGGCCACAACCTTTTTTGCTTAGAGAGCATCCTGGGGCAAAAGCGTACAAGTTGCAACCCATGAGGCTTCCCTGCTCTGTGTAAACATTTGCGGAGCAGGAACCACATTCCCCCTCTCCAGGTGGGTGTTCCAACCACCATGAAAGAGAGCCCTTCCTTCACAATTAGTATTCAAATGTTTCACACAAGGTGGAACAGCTCAGAGTGTCTTGGTAGTTGGGACACGCTCAGAGCGGTGGGTGATCTGCTTCTATCCCACTCTGGATCAAGCAAGGATGGGATGTGAACTTTTGGAACTTCCCCCCTCATCTGGCAGCCTGATGAACCCTGTCCTTCGCTTCCTCTTCTGTTCTTTCAAGTGCCTGCGAACAAAATGTTTCATTTGGGGAAAACGGGGGGATTTTTTCACTGCAGAAAAGGTTTGCAGTGCTTAAAAAAAAAAAAAGGGCTTATTTCAAATTACAGTATTTTTTGATGGTTTTATTCTGCTACCAGACTAAATCAGGTATTTGTATTTCCCCATGTCCTGCTCTGGCTGACAGCCTCCATTACAAGAAGCAAATTAAATCCTTTTCTCTGGTCCATCATAACTGGAATGTAGCCTTGCTACAGGGATGTCATACTACCTGTGTATTGCCATTTCCCATCATTATTTCTTCAACTGTGTGTTTCCTCTGAGTCTTGGCATCACTTTCAGTGTCACTAAGGGAGGTAGCAGTGCTTCTGGTGGATGAGGAGAGCTTTGGGTCTATAGCAAAGAGCACATTTTTCGTAACAGTGGCCATTAACAGTGTCTTTTGCTCTTCCTGAGCCCTAAGGAGAGAAGAGAAGGGATCAAGAAGAGCTGTTAGTCATAACTGCTGTGGAGATAACATCCTTTCATGTTTTTGAAGGGTCCCAAGGGCCTGGCCGTGGAACATGGTGGCTGCTGTGCCAGACGGAAGAGGAGTGGAGGCAGGTCACAGAGAGCTTCAGAGAGAGGACTTCCCTTAGAGAGCGGCAGCTCTACAAACTCTTGAGTGAAGACTTCCTGCCGGAGATCTGCAACATGATTGCACAGAAGGTGAGGAGACATGACATCCTGTTTACCTCTCTTTGACCGCTTCCAAGAGCATGGACGTTTGCTGAGTGAAGTTGCTGAATCCAAGCAGCCCGTCACCCCACCTCCAGCCTCCAAGTGTCATGGATGTGGGGGCTGTTCAGCTGGGGGGGGGGGAAAGGCTCTCCCCCATGCTGTGGCAGGGCTAGAGTTGATGCTCGAGGATCTGGTTCATGGTTGCACGGCGGCGTTGGTAGGAAGGCTGAAGGGGTTACTGTCTTCAGCCATGTTCTGTGTCCCTTTTCTCCTAGCAGGGAATTCTCTGTGCTTTTGAACTGCTGCGATTTACAGCCTAGCTTTTCTATGCAAACTGCCTGTGATTCCACTTTTACTGCCCTTTCTCAACTGGCTCTGCTGGAGGGGCACTGGCTGCTTTAGCTGTTCTAGCTAAGTCTGCTTGAGCTGGTTATGTCAGAGCCCTGAAACTCCGAAGGGTATTGTCCGTCAACTGAATGTTTTCAGGTGGGACAGATTTGGAAAGGGATCCTTCGGCTAGATGGCTTTGTAAAATGGGCTCTGCAGCCAGCGTGATGTTCTTGGATTGAGTTCAGTTTGCTTGTTTGCTACCCTTGTAAAGCTAATAGGGATTTCATGGTCACTTCTAGCCCCCAGAGTTTCTCCTGCCAGTGTCACCGATGTGCCCTAATTTCCTCCACTCTCTTTTTCCTTCCCTCAATTCTCAACCCTGTTTCAGGAGAAGCGTCTGCAGCGGACAGAGTTTTCTCCCAGGTGGATGTCTGACCATCAGCCCATCAAACCAATCAAGCAGGAGGTGAGGGGGGGTGCGAGGGGGAGGACGACAGAGGGAGGCGAGAGCAGATGCCTCCTGGGGGAAAAAATAAACCGCAGCATCGCTATTCAGTGGGAAGGAGTAGCTTGAAAGTGCTTGTGCTGAAAGAGAGATGGGTGGTAATGCCCGTCAAAGGCAGGCTGACACTCGGGGTTTCTATGGCGAGCAGGGAGGTGCTGCCCTCTGGATCGCAGAGGTAACCGGCCTCGCTGCAGACTCCGGTGCAGCTGCATATGGAAATCTGCGCTCAGTCTGGGGAATTCCACTTCAATGAGAGTGCTGGCACATTCGAGGCAGTTCAAAGAAAAGTTGAAGAAGGATGAGAGGGCTAGAAGAACCGGCTTACAAAGGGAAATGACAGAAATTCAGCCAAGGGGAAAACGTGAGGCTGCAAACACATGAGGATGTAGATAGTGCTGAGGGAGAGAAGAATGACTGATGCAGCATGCGGAGCTGAGCTAGGAGGGGGTCAGCTGGAAATGGAAGTCACAATGTAGGCAGCTTAAAGGAATGCTTATCAAACTGCAGCTATGTTGGCTGAAATGGTTCTTTCCATGCCTCTTCACCCTCATCTCCTCCACCCCATCAGTGTAACAGCACTGCTGCTGCTGCTCCTTGCGGGTCTGTGCAGTGAACCAGACTCAGGAAAATGACTGGAGTTAAATATAACCTTTTTCTTTGGTCGGGGTTATTTTTAACATAGATCAGTTTTCTGATCCAGTTCACCACACAGCCCCTAACAGTCACGCCGGCACAGCCAGGCATGTGGTGCCATGGAGATGGGGGGTCTTTGAACTGGCAACTGCTGCCCAAAGCAATCAGTCAGACAACTCGGGATTAGCTCTGGAGGAAAAGATTGTCTTGATTCTATCAGGTTGTGGCATAATCTCTCACTGCAGATGTAATCAAAATGTAGTTACCTGATGTTTTGTCAGAGCCTGGGAAATAAAGCTGCAGGGAATATTCCACAAGAACCAGAGTCAGAGGTTCCCTCAAAACAAAGGAGAAAGTAGTTCCCTGCAATAAATATACTTACTTGGAACAGATAAATAAAAGGAAGGAAGAACCTCTCATCATGCTGCAGATAAAAGCCTGCCGAGAGGAAAATAAGACCCCAGTGATGGTCAGTTTGGGGCCAGAATTGCTCTCTGCAAAGCCCACCGTGCAGGAAGCACAGGGACACGTGTTTGTTCACAGGCAGCAGAAATCCCAGAGGAGGAGGGGAGTGGGAAACACATGGAGCCTGAATGATGCTAATCAGTACCGCAGGTGCTCCAGGTCTGCTGTGGCAGAGGGCTGTTAATTGCTGCCTGTGGGCCAGTGAAATGTTTCCAGAGAGCGGGGGGCCCTCCTGGCTCCTGGGGCACAGGGAGCCAGCCAGTGTGAGGGTGGTGATGCTCACAGCGCTCCCCAGCAGGATGTGGCAGTCATCCCTGCCACGGGGGAGCCAGGGAAGGTGCGAGCATGTCTAGTATCTTGTTTGTCAAGTGAGGGTGGGCAGCAGGCGAGCCTGGAGGAGAAAACCTTGGCCGAGTGCAGGTGACCCCTTCCTCCTGGCAGCTGCTTCAGTCCAAGATGTAACTGCTTGTTGGGCTCCTGATCCTGCAGGGGATTTCTCAACAGGTGGTTCAGATTAGCTCCTCATTAAGAGCCGCCTGAGCAGCACCCTCATTAGGATCACGCTGAGGAAACCTGAGCAGGAAAGGTTTGGCAGATGAGAGGCCAGGGTGTCCAGGGCACCCGCGCCTCCTGGCCTTCTGCCCCTGAAGTCTGATACCAACTGCGTGGAGAGCAAAGCAAACGGCAGGAGTTTGTGCAGGAGTTTGGCCCTTTCAAGTCTCGCAGGGCCAGGGGAAGGCAGCGATGTTGTGTCCTGGAGTGCTCTCTACCGGAGGGAAGGAGGCGGTGATGCTGTGGTTTTTATCCTCTAAGTGAGGAGGAAGCTGGAGAAACGTCCTTTTGCCACCTGTGTGGTCAGGAAGGAAGTTTAACTTGAGTTTGGTTCTTGTTTTTATCATTCCAATAGGCGTCGGCTTCCACCACATCTCATAGGAGTTTACTGGTTTGTGGTCGCGTATTTTTTTAACCCTGAGTTGAGCACGCTCATTCCCAGTGGGCTTAAGGGGGACACCAGGCAGAGGGTCCCTCTGAAAATCAGGTTGTTTCTGTGTCTGAAGTGTCTCAAAGAGCCAGCATTGCTGCTGCCCTGCAAGTGCTGCAGGGAGCAGGTGCCTTTGTGGGTGTCTGCTGCAGCCCTTGGGGCTCACTACACTGCGTCTGTGGTTTCTGCTTTTCCCTTTTCTTCTTCTGCTTCCTACATCTAGTAGGATGACACCCTTCCTTTGCTTAAAATTGTCCCCTTGCTTTGTCAATGCCATATTTGTGGGGTGTTGACCTGGAACATGCTATGGAGTCGATACCATTACAGTGTAGGGTGCTGAATGCACCCTGCAGGCTTGGAAAAGTTCTGGTGGTGAGCACTGCAGCTTGGATGTTGTGTTTGTGTTTCCATAGGACATGAATGGTGAAAGTGGTATGAATCCAGGGAAAGGGAAGGTCTCACCTGTGTACCAACAATCAGAGAAGTTGGTGTGTCATGCCAGGCTGGCTTAGATCTACTGGTTGGAGAGTTTAAAGGCTGATGGTCACATCATCAATAAAATATCTTAGTGTACCAACTTCTGATAGCTGGTTTCTGCTCACCTCTTCTAATTGCTGCAGAGTCTGACTTTTTTGGTTCTTACTGCTATTTGAAGATTGATCAAGAAAGTTAGGGGTAAACTGTTTGATGATGGTCAGGATCAGACCTGAAAGGAAATTGTTTGCAGTTTGTGAGTAGAGAATCGGATGGTAGAGCATTCAAGAAAGGGATATGAAAAGAATCAAAAGTGTAAATGTAGAACCCAATTCCGTAGGTTCTTGACCTCTTGTACTTGGCATAGCACTTTCAGTCCTGAGCATTCTGGCATTTGGATATTCATCAGGGAGAAAAGGCCTGAGAGACAACTGGAGCTGTAAGGATTGCTTTCTAAGGAAACATTTAACCTAACTGCGGAAATGTGGGAGTTTTGTGTAAGTGTCTGAGGAAGCCCGTAAAGGCTGGAATGTGGCTGAAGAACAGAAGGATTTGTGCTCACCCAGAAGAGCCTAACTGGGAATAACTGGATGGAACGAGGAGTGGAGAAATGAACTTTAGGCTGAATGTGAGGAGAAGCTGGCTAAGCTAAGGCACATGGGCTCACAGAATGATTTTCCTAGGAAAGGGATGTACAAGTGAACTACTAACATTTGGCAAATATCTGAAAAATAAAAGAAGATAGGCAGAGTTCCCTCATGGTGTGATGATGCTATAGGATTCACCTAAAAAGATTGGTGTTTTTGCTGCCCAGTCTGTCTCTAAATGCAGGATATGGTCCTAATTTTGTCAAGAGTCCCATCACCCTTTCTTTGACACTTCTCTATGACTGTTGGTGGCTGAAATATGATTCTCTTAAAATATTTTTGCTGCTGGAAATAGGGAGATAATTCACAATGCTCATCCACAGGGAGTTGGAGTGGGACTTTGTACGGCAGCTCAGGGCTTTGTAGGGGAAGGGGAGGCAGAGGGGGAATGAATGTACCGTGAAACCAGACAGCATTTGTAGGTGTTTATCAAAGCAGCCCCAGGTTCCACTCCTAGGCAATGAAACAAGGACAAAACAGTAATCATGGGGCCAGAATTTTTTTTTTTTTCTGGGGATTAATAATGGGCCTGGAGAAGTTGATGATCTGAGCAGCAGCCAACGGACCCCAGCTGATTGCTAATCCTCAGGAAATGCCTTCTACTTAAGTGGTGGTTGCTGGTTATTCCCTGAAAATGAAGTTGGAGCAAACTGTGTGTACACTGTTCTTTTCCAATTGATATTCCTTGCTGACAAGGCACATGTATCTTGGTCTTGCAGAAGTCAAAGGGGTGGGAGTGGCTGGTGGATGACTGATTCATTTGTCTTATCATTAATTTAGGCTAATAAAGATAATTCCACACTTCCATATACATATCTTGCACTTCATTGGGGAAATAGGAGCAGGAGATCCCTGGTCGGGAAACCTGCAGTCTTAAGCAGGATCAAACAGAGCCTTGGAGCCTGCTGGCAGTGGGGAGCTGAGGAAGTGGAGCAATAAAGAGCCAGGCATCCTGGAGTGAGAAAACTGGTTTTGGGACCCAGCAGGAAAACTGTCCAAATAAACAAACAAGACGTAGTTCAGGGAAAATTAGCACACAGAAATTTTGAACGGGAAAGGAAAACATTCCAAATGATACCTCGATGCAAGGCTGCACCAGTCTCTTTTCCTGTTGAAGTACTCTGTGTTTTATAGCAGAGCCAGGTTTGGCAACGTAGTTCTTTCTGCTCACACTTCCCACTTGGAGCTCTGCTAGCTGGAAGAGGTAGAGGTGTTCTGTGGTGCTGTCAACAGCCTGAATCCTTTGCCCAGAAGGGAAGGGAAATACACGCGGTGTGTCCCTGGCAGAATACAGCTTGTCTAACCCATCGCTTCTCCTTCCATTGTCCTTGTATCGGTAGGATTTCATTGCTTGACAAATAACTTTCCTTTACATGTTCCTTTTCATCTAGGAATTCATGCATACAAATCCATTTTTGCCCCTTTTTTTTTTCCTCCCAGCCATTCATTGTAGGTTTGCTTTAATATTTGCTCAAAGTAATCCTTCCTATGCTCAGACTTGAATAAGCCAATGTGTTACAGTTTTTGGTGCCCTGTTCTGTCACAGGTAAACCCGAATGTACTGAGTTCCATGGAGAAGCAGAGGCGCAGGGAGGAAGAGGAGGAACGCCAGATCCTTATAGCAGTGCAGAAGAGGGAGCAGGAACAGCTGCTAAAGGAGGAGAGGAAGAGAGAGATGGAGGAAAAGGTCAAAGCAGTGGAAGGTAACGTGCAGCCAAGTGTGAAGCAGAAGTTTTCAAAGCCAAGATTGAAATCTTGAATTAAGATCTGCCATTTACATTCCTCCCCTGCCAGACCTGCTAATGGGAATATCTTTTCTTGCACTTACCTGTGATAAATTAGTCTGACTGTAGCTTCTTTGCCTATCTCCCTTGGTGTTGGTGGCTGTTCTCTAGTACACCCTTTGACTGTGTTTTCTTCCTCAAATCATGCTTATTTTCTCCCTCAGCTATGTTTTTTTTCCTGCTATTCACGTTGTTTCTCAGTTGTCTTCCATCTCCCCACTTGCCTCCTTATGGATTTCCCTGTGTGCAGGATTAGCTGGATTTGCTCTTGCTAAATAACATTTGGTTCTTTTGGCCCAGTCCATGATAAAAGAAGAATTCCCTTTGAGGAGAAAGGGAAGGGGACAACATAGGAGCAGCAAGAGTAACATTTTTTTCCTGGCCTTACCAATTGGAGAACTAAAGATGAAGGGACCAGGCGCTTTTTTTTTTTTTTTTTGGTTATGAAATAAATGCTGAGTTAAACCGTTCTGCAAGAAACAAATGTATTTAATGTGTTTAATACATCAGCTCAAGGCACAGACAGCAGGCATTCAGCTGTGCCATGTAGGCATGGGTGTCAGAGCAGGATCATTTCTGACCACCTTCTCTCTGTCAGCTTCCTTTACGGGAAATCCTTGAGCTGCTGCTTCTGCCACAGTGACTGGCTGGGCTGTTGCAGTTCTAGGGAAAGGCTGAGCATCTTCAGAAAGCTGTGGTGGTAGTGTGTGGCGATATCAGTATCCTGAGTCCTTAAGGGGATAAAGAATCAGAAAAGGAAAAAAAGATTAGGTTCATGCAAACCGTGTAAACTTTCCAAGATGAAACAGTCTGCCACCAGATGTTTGGTAGCATGCCAGATGTTATCTAAGAATAGGGTTTTTTACCTGCTTACCTTTCTAACCTTTAGAAAATCCAATTACTTCCTTGGCCTTCATATATTCCTGGTTGCCAGTCCTAGCTAATCCAGTGCTTTAAACTGAGACTCATCCAGCTTCCATATCTGCTGCAGATATCTGTTTCACCTTGGAAAATTGCATATTCTCTGTGCTTTAATTCTTCATCTGTATAGACAAAATTAATCTTGAGGTTCCAGAAGAGCTGCAAAGATAAATGTAACATGGCTTTGCTTTGGGATAAGCCACTTCCTTTTCTGGGTAAATGCAATTACTACATCATCTGATTCAAAGACATCAGAACCACTCAAAGAAATTAGCATACATTCATAGCTTTTCTTGGCAGAGATGCTTTTCTTTTGGTTTAAACTCATCCCTAGTCCTAGGTCTTCTGTAGAGGAAGGATGTGAAATACAAAGTGAAATATCTGCTCTCTGATGAACTTAATCAGCACTTCACCTTCTTCTCAGTTTTGAACTGTATGCCTGTTTTTTAAAACACATTCCTGTTTCCAGTCTGAGATTTCACTTCCCCTCAATCCAATGCACACCCCAGGTAGCAAGTTTCCTACTGGGCCCATCTGTAGTCTCCTGAAATTATGAGTTAAGGCAGCTTTCTAGATTTCTACCACAACAGCAGGTTAGAGTTTCTCAGTTCTCTTTCCAGATGCTGCTTCGTCATAATCTCTCACAAACATGACTTTCTAGCTGGTTGAGGTACTTTTTAGGGCACTGTTTAGATTTTAAAGCTGCTGGGTAGGACTCGACCCAGGCCAACAGTGTGAGAATGAGCTCTGCCTGATATGTAACATGCTGTGTTAATCACTAGCTGTGGTAGAGGTTCCTGCCATTAATCCTGACTGAGATCCAGTCTGGTACCAGGGTAGCACTCCTCGATTTCTGTCAGTTTACCGAGTCACATCTTTGGCAGGCCTTGGAGGATTTCTAAAATCTACAAATCTACATCACCTTACCTCTTGGCTGCTGTTGCCATGAGGTTTTCCTTTTGCTGCCCAAATTATCACTTCGTGTTTTCCTCAGCTTTCTCAAATATGCATCCATTGCAATACCGTCTGAGTGATGCTAGTTTTAGGAAAGAAGCATGAAGTACTGAACTGTGCTTGGACAGACTCAGATAATCTCTGTTACCTGCAATTGGATGTTGGACTTATCATCATGAAATGTTATAATAGATGCTGTTACATTCTGTAGGACACCTTAGAACCAAGTCCTATATTCCCAACTTCAGTGCTGCCCAGAGTCTTCTAACAGGAAATTCAGGCTTTCTTCTACCAATGTTTGACATATCTGACCAAGGATGTCCTTATAAATAACCACTTTGTAGCTATTCCTATATTTTTTGTGCCCTCAGCTGCTATCCCAAGTTTGTTTTTGACTGACAGAGTAAGACATTAAATTAATATTTTTCCACCAGAGCTGGTACTTCCTGAGTCTTTGACATTTTCCAAATATGAAGCTTCTGATAGAGGGTGTTAGCCAAGTCTCTCCCATCTTTCTTTCTCTCTGGGTGTTCCCTGATGTGGCCTGTTGTCAGGGGTCCTACTCCTGTGACATCTCTCCTTGAACATTACTTTCACAGAATTCTGCTCCTACGCAAGGTTGGTCCAACCACAGGTGTTTTGCAAGTCAAATGAATTCAGATTTCTTATAAGAGAAAGGAAATGAGGTTCATAAGAGCCCATAAACTTTCTATTATGAAGCAATCTGTTAGCCAGCTGTCTGGTTGCAAACCACAGGTTATATTACTAGAATTGCTTCTTCCTGTCTCTCACCTCTTTAAATCAAAGCTGTCCCAGTGGTCTTCCTGTGTGGCAGCTTGCTTGTTCTGGCTGCTGGCCATGAAGACCCACCTGAGCAATCTTCCCAAAGCTAGCCATGATCATGGAGGATATTAATGTCCCCAGTTACTCATTGCCACTCAGCTGGTAGAACTTCACCCTTCCCTCTGCACTGCTCTTCATCCCCTTCAGTGCAAAACCAGCTGCCCTGAGTTTACCTGCCTGAGCCGAAGCACCTAAAGGAAGGTAACAACAAGCCAGCTTTTTCCATAGTGCTGATCTATGCCTAGGTCTGGTTGAACTTCTCTCTCTGTATCACACCACTTCTGAAAGCTGCCTAGGGGAGCATCTGTGTCACAGCAATGCTTCAAAATCGGTGATGGTAAACCAAGGGATGGTGAAGAGGTGTGTTGATGGTGCACTGCATTCTCATCTCACCTGCTCCTGTGCTGTTGCTGCTTTTGCCAAAGGAGCAAGACCATGTCATTGGAGTCCTTGAGAGCTGCAGGACCTGTCTTCTTTTTCCCTGAAAGAAGTTGACAAGTAGTGCTGAATGTTTTTTCACCTCTTCCTACTGCAGAACGGGCCAGGAGGAGGAAACTTCGTGAAGAGCGGGCCTGGCTGCTGGCGCAGGGAAAGGAGCTCCCTCCTGAGCTGTCCCACCTGGATCCCAGTTCCCCTTCCAGGGAAGAGCGAAGGACCAAGGATATGTGAGTACACAACTGGGCATTGCAGCACGTGAGTGCATTGAAGTAGTGAGTATGGCAAGGAGAGGAGTGTAAGCATTCACAGGAGTGAGGAGGGAGAAGTGAGGTTAGAGAACAGTGAGGAGTAAGGTGGTAAACATCTGAATTTGGTCCACATGAGAGGAGTATTTGTGATGAGGCCTATTTGTCAGCATTGTGACACTGTGCATGGATGGAAGGGAAGATGAAGTACAAGAGCATGTCCTCAGTCTGCATATTCACTGTGGTGCTTCTCATTGCAGCTTTGAACTGGATGATGAGTTCACAGCCATGTACAAAGGTTAGTCCTACCCCAGCTTTCCCCTTTGCATGACTTGCTCAAAGTGAAATCCTCCCCTGTGTATATGTAACCATTCACCTTTCTCTTGGTAACACCAGTTCTAGATGTGGTGAAGGCTCACAAGGACTCTTGGCCCTTCTTGGAACCCGTTGATGAATCCTATGCTCCCAACTACTACCAGATCATTAAGGTATGGGAAGTGATCCAGCCATCTTGACTGATGCATTTTGTTGACCAGGAGGCAGTTTTTTGGAAGTGTTTTGATATTTTGTGGGCTGCATTACTCTCACCTCTCAAACTGCATGTCTCCAGTAGTCCTTTCTAGCCTTACAAGTCAAGGAAACCAAAGATGAGAGGCTTCCTCTCTAGAGAGCATCCTCTGCTGCCCCATCCCCTCTCTGAGGAAGCTACAGCTCCAACTTTGTACGCCCCACTACGCTTGCTGTCACTGAAGGGAGATGTGGTTGTATTTCAGGCCCCCATGGATATCTCTAGCATGGAGAAGAAGTTAAATGGAGGTCAGTACTGCACCAAGGAAGAATTCGTGGGTGATATGAAGACCATGTTCAGGAACTGTCTTAAGTACAACGGTGAAGGCAGTGGTAAGAGCAGCAAGTTAATAAATTTGTCTATTTGCAGTGCTCAGTCAAAGAAAGCAGTGATCTCTTCCTCCTCACCAGTCCTTGATTTGTGCTTCTTCTCTTTGAGGATATTTTTGAGAGACCAGATGAAAGAGTAGGAGCTTCTGAGTAATAAGGCCTGGGGTTTTAGTGAGGCTTTTAGCACAATTTTGCCGTGCTGGAAGGGGCATGGGATACTAAGGGCTGCCGTGTTGGTAGATGGTGACAGCAGAACATATAAAGAGAAGAAAGTCTTGTTTCTTTCTGAGCTCATTTCTTCGTGTGCTTGTGTGTGCCTGTGTGCCCCTTTTTCTCATAGTAACTAACACAGACTTTGAAAAGCATTGGAGTCTGGTTAGCTCCCAGTGTTTGAGTACTACAGTGAGGAGTGAACCAGGTTTGTAGTCCTTTGGATGGAAAATGTCAGGTTTAGGTTCCTGGTCTATTGAATGAACAACATGAGTCTGCAAATGAGAAATCCTGGTTTTAATTGCCATACCAATTAAAAATTAAAACTCTGCGTGTTACTTAGGTAAGAAATCAGTTCCCATATGGTGAGTCATCACTGCAGACTCTGTCTCACCAGCAACACCTTGAAAGGGATAACAGTTAGGAACTAATCGGCTTGTTGCTGTTGGCTGCAAGTAAAAGCATACCTGCACTGCCACTGACAGAGCTCTGTCCCCCAGGGAACTTCAGGGTTAGTTTAGTGGAAACAACTGGAAGGTCATTTGCTTCAAGGCCTTGTCATTAACACCTCTCACATGTCTTTTCCTTCCTACCCACTCAACGGAAAGTAGAAGCCCATCTCAGCAGGACTGTCCTGTGGAAATGATGCACTGGGGACTCTGGTGTTGGCAGTAGCTCTCATGTCAGGGCCAGCAAATGCTTTAGAAACTGTACATGAATAAATGTATTTGCTGATTTTCCTCTGTCTTGTAGCCTATAGCAGAGATTCGAATGAGTCCAAGAAAAGCCTCTGAACATAATCAAATAGCCTTGCTGGAAGTTCACATTTCTTTTCCCAGCACTTTGCTGGCTAACTGTGCACTGTGCAGGTCACACATCCCTGCGAGCAGAGGTGGTGCTCCTCTAATGTAATTCTTGGCACTACTCTGGAACAGAGTTAATGCTGACTCCGCAGACCGTGCCGCCAGTGGTACTTTGTCATGCCTATGTGCCTGTCCTCTGGTGGGGTTACTGAACAGATCTGTGTTGCTTATGGAAGTTTAGGAACCAAAGCCAACTAGTTAGAAACAAAAGTCTTTCTTAAAGAAACTTGGAGGAGGGGAGATGATTGATCTGATGGGGAAAGTCTGATGTTGCTTAGTTGTTTCCTTCTATAAGGCTCCGTTCTTGATGTTTTTGGGGTTTTTCAACTGCAGAATATACCAAGATGGCTTACAACTTAGAGAGGTGTTTCCACCGAGCAATGATGAAGCACTTCCCTGGGGAAGATGGAGACACAGATGAAGAGTTTTGGATCAGAGAAGATGGGAGACGAGAGAAGAGGAGCCGGCGGACCGGCCGCTCCAGCACGGGCAGTGTTTGGACTCGGTCGCGAGACCCAGATGGGCCAGGCAAGAGACAGCAACGCCTGGAAAATGGAGGAAAACCTCCACCATATCGAGCTACTTCCAGGGCTCCTGCTTCTTCCTCTTCTTCCTCTTCCTCCTCCTTCTCCTCGTCCTCTGTGGAGGACCCAAGTGGCAACCCAATGCAGACCACTCGGGAGGTGGGCCCTTCCAACGGGCGAGGCTTCCCCCGCTCCCTGCAGTACGGCGGCATGCCCAGCCCTGTGCCACACCCCGGACAGATGGTAAGGACCAGCCTCCACTGTTCTGTGCCCATCAGACCTGTGGAGGGAGGGAGGAATGAAAGGAGAATGAAACTTTCTACTGTGAAATCCCTACTGCCTGGCAAGGACTTTTCCCAGAGATAAAGGGTCAGGGCTATGGTTTCTCCAAGTGAAACTTTCCAGCACTTAGGTTTAAACTGGTACAATTTCAGTCTTTGCCACACGAGCTGGGAACAATCTCTTAACGTTTCCCATGGCCAGCATGTCCCTGTGTAGTCTTGCACCAGCCCTGGTTTCCCCAGTTCTCTTCTCTCCTTAGAAAGTTACCCCATTGTGCATGGGAAACTGTCAAATTTCCTCTCTTAACCTCCAGTTTATGAAGCTGAAACAAGATGGTCTTCTTTTGTCTCAATTGTTTACAGATGCCTGGTAACTTTGTGCCATCTGTGTACTACTGCATTTCATGCCTTGAGTATTTATAAAAGCAGTAAACTAAATCAAACAAAGGCCACCCTGGACTGCAGCAGTGACCTATCTTTAGCCCAGCATTTCTTCTCTGAATGCCACCTGTTCTACCTCCCGTCTGGGCTCTTCCTCACACATCCTTCACTGCCTTTTCTGTTTTAACCACTGATGTCTTGTGGTACAGTGCATCAGCTGCACCTCTGAGATCCAGGCTATCCCTTGCCCTTTTAGCTGGAGATCAGACAAAATTTTTAGAGCCATTCTTATGATGCAGATAGTGGCAGGCAGTAGGGAGAGCTGGAGGCATCAAGTATTTTGAAAGAAGTCTAGCACATTCCCCCAGTATTTTCCTCCTTCCACAGTTTTGTGGTTCACTCCACTTCTTGGAGCAAACCACTGCCCTCTCCAGTCTTCTTGCTTGCTCCCAACTACTTGGGTGGCAAGTGAGTGTATTGCAACCTAAAAGCAGAGGTGAGTGACTGGGATGTGAGAGAGCGGCTTTGGTAAGGGAGCTGTGTCACCTCCTAGAAGGGAGTCTACAGGTTTTCCATGGTATCTCCAAAAAAGTCCATCTGCTCATCCGTGTGGTACCTCCAGCCTTGGCTTCCCCCAACCTGTAGTACTTCTGTTGCTTTTTTGTGCTTCACACGCTGTTTTGTTTCTCCTCCCTGCACCCCTCCCCATCCCCCAGAGACCAGCCGTGCCAGGAACGTTTGGTCCCTTGCGCGGGTCGGATCCCACGAAGCTGTACGGCTCTCCGCGAGTGCCTGAGCCCCATCCTGGAGACCCAGTCCAGCAGCACCAGCACTTTGCCATGCAGGTAAGGAACGCTGCAGCACCCCAGGACCCACAGGTGTGATGGCTCTCACTGAGACCCACCTCGTGTCTCTCTCTCTCTCCCTGTGTCCTCCACAGCCGGCCGTGGGACTGAGCGAGCACCGCGGGCACCGGCTGGCCACTCCAGAGAAGCAGGCGTGCGCAGGACCCACCCACGTCTCCGGCCTCGGCCCCCGACCAGGCACGCTGCAGCTGGGAAGGGTCAGCGGCCCCCCACCCGACGCCGTCTACCCACCAGCCCAGTTCCAGCAGGGCTTCCTCCCACCCAGGCACAACGGGCCCCCGGTGAGGCCACCGGAGGGCTCGGAGGTCCCCCCGGGGCACATGTACAGACCCTACAAGTACCTGAACCGCGCACACCCAGCCCTGTGGAATGGCAGCCATGGCCCCACTGGCCAGGCTGCCATGGGGCCGGAGGAGAAGGCGCCCATGGGGCCAGGGCCCTCGCTCCAGCCCCGTACCCTGGGTCATATGATGGACCCCCGGGCCATGAGGCCGCCGCTGCCTCCCAGCCAGTGGACAGAGCAATCGAATTTCCTACCTCACGGGGTGCCTCCCTCAGGGTATATCCGACCGCCTGGGAAAGCCGCCGGCCAGAGGATGCCACAGCCACCGGCCGCTCTGTTTGGGGCACCGCCTCAGGTTCAGAGAGGGTGCCAGGGCGGGGACTCCATGATGGACAGCCCGGAGATGATCGCCATGCAGCAGCTCTCCTCCCGCGTGTGCCCGCCGGGAGTGCCTTACCACCCTCGCCAGCCGCCCCCACCGCACCTCCCCGGACCCTTCCCCCAGCTGGCCCACGCTGCCTCCGCCGCCGGCGTGCAGCCCCCAAAACCTGTCATGGGAAACGGGAGCTCGCAAGATCCAACCGGGCAGACCATGGAGATGGAGAGCAACCAAGGTAAACCCTTGAGTGCCCACTGGTATTGTTGACCTTCACTGCCTGCACATCCCAGATAATAACTCAAATTTTGATTAAATACTTGGGAGGGACGCAGCTTTTACGTCTTTTTTATTTTTTTAATATAAATTGGAGTATGTTTTCTAATCCATCCATCACTTAGATTTTTCTAGGCTGTTTTGTTTCACTGTAGCCTGCCAGAAGTCCCCTCTGTCCCAGCTATGCCTGCAAGTTACCAGTTTACCATGGGGTGCAAAGCATAGGCTGTGACGCTTCTAGAGCTCACTTGGAGTTAATATAAAAATGGGATCTGCAGAGAGTTAGGTAAGGAAAGAAGATGTTGTGCGAAACAGCTTACATATATAAGGAGTATATATTAAATATACTCCTTTAAGTGTACATCAGTATGGCTTCTCCTCTGAAATGCACATCTGCCTTGTGAGCTCTGAACATCACAAAATCTTCGCACAACAGGACTACCCAAAAGCCCCTGAGCAGCTGTATCAGTTCACATGGGATGGCAGTGTGTCATGTGTGCCCTCACAACTTTCTTTCCAGTTGAATTTCATCTGTTCTATCTAGTAAACTACAGATTAAAAAAAGAAAGAGAAACCCAACCTTAAAAATAAAACCTAAAGTAGAGATCAAAATAACGCAGAGATCAAAAAAATTTTTTTTTCATTAATTCTAGCTGGTAAACTAGAGATCAAAACCCTTGTATCTTTTATCAATCCCTTGTGTGCCTTGTACTAAGAGGAAACTCTTTCCTTGTGTGGCATTGCTTAAAAGTTATCATTATAATTTAACTTGCTGGATATAGAACAGAGACCAGGGAAGGACGTTGAGTGATTGCAGGACAGAGTACTCTCATCTTCAAACCACAGTTGGTTAAAATATGGCTGCGATCAGCTCTGCAGCATCTCGGTGTGTGGTAGCGCTTCTGCCCATGCTGTGGGCAAATGGCATTTGTGGAGGGTAGGTTTAAATTTGATATTAGGGAGAAATTCTTTCCTGTGAGGGTGGTGAGGCACTGGCACAGATTACCCAGAGAAGCTGTGGATGCTCCGTCCCTGGAAGTGTTCAAGACCAGGCTGGATGAGACTTTGAGCAACGTGGTCTGTTGGGAGGTGCCCCTGCCCATGGCAGGGGGGTTGGAACTAAATGACCTCTAAGATCCCTTCCAACCCAAACCATTTTATGATTCTGTGACCAGAAGGGGCAAGGCAGCATGAAATCAAAGTGCTGCTACTCTTGACTTCTTGTCTTGCTGTCATGTGGACCCCACTGTGGTATTTCCCAACTCTGCCTCTCCTTTAGGCAGCCTCGGCACCCCTGTGTGTCAGAGGTATGACTTAGCAGTGGCTTGCAAACTGCAGAGCATCTGTGGCATGAGGGTTTAGCCCGTGTGTGCCATCTTTCCAAGAGTGGTGCAACCTCCTGAGTAGTTTTTAAAAGATCTCTTTCACAAGGAGCAGCTACTAAAGGTCACCCAAATTTGAAAAAAAAATGCACTTCAGAATTGCTAAAAGTCTCTGAAGGAAAAACTGTGTTATGGATGTGGGAGGAAGGCTACAGCCCCAGAAAAGAGCAGTTGTCCTGAAGCCATGCTCCAACAGCCCTGTAGAGAGGTTTGTGTGGACGATAGGACGTAGTAGGCTTTGGAGTACTGGCAATGGAAGGACCTGCATGGCTTTAGAAAGTCAGTCCTTTTTCTCTTCCATTTACTTAAAAGTGGAATGCTTTCTCCATCCAGATGTTAGGGACTTGTTTAGCAGAGCTGCTGGGTCAGCAGTCAAAGAGGTTTGGTAGACCTGGTTAACCTGGCAGGAATTACTCTTTGGCATGTGTGTTTTGGGAGAGCATGAGCAGGCATGTGTATGTGTTAGGCAGAGAGGGACAATTTCCAATTAGACCGGTGTGTGACTTTCTTCTCTCTCTTTCAGTGGAGACACCAGCAGGCATGGACGAGAAGGCTCAGTGCATCAACATTCCCGACGGGGCCTATGCCAAACTCCTACCTCATCCCAAGCCCCCGCTGCCCATGGAGTGCACCAGGCGTGCCTTGCCCCCAGATGGGGAGGTGGATGGCTCTGGTGTGAAGGGCGAGCTGAAGGCAGGGCAGGGCAAAGGTGCATGGTCGGCAGAGAGTGGCTACACCGGCGACCCGGGCTGTGTGAGGGACCTGGTGCCTGCCTCTGAAAGAGGGGGTCCCCTGCCTCAGAACGGGGCGGCGGGCGAGGGGCCGGCAGCCGGCACTGAGGGGAAGGGGCTGGCTGCCAACCTGCTGGAGAAGCCCCTCTGTGGTGGGGGCAAGACTCTACCCGAAGCGACTGTGCCTTGCATGGGGCAGGGCACCGGCCTTCCTGGCGTGGATGCCGGCTCCATGGGGGCCACCCCCAACCAGTATCACCCTCTGTACATGCCCGGTCTGGAATACCCGAATTCGGCTGGGCGGTACCACATCAACCCAAGCCTGCAGGGTTTTGGCCCGGTGATGGGCGGGAAGCCACCTCCTCCTGCCTCCCACCCGCAGCATTTTCCTCCACGGGGTTTCCAGCCGGGCAGCGCGCACCCCGGCGTCTTCCCGCGGTACCGGCCCCCCCAGGGAATGCCGTATCCTTACCAGCCACAGCCTCAACCTTCCTACCACCACTACCAGCGACCGCCCTACTACGCCTGCCCACAGGGATATTCGGACTGGCAGAGGCCTCTCCACCCCCAGGCCAGCCCCAGCGGGCATCCCAGTGCCCACCCGCCCCTGGCCAGAGCTCCGTTCCCAGAGCGGGGTTCCGCCGGCGGCCTGCAGGGCTGCGAGGCACTGAGCGCTGCCCTGGCCTCTCCCAACCGCATGGACGTAGCAAGTGCCAAAGAGGTTTCTCCAAGCGACGGGCAGGATCTGGGGCCCGAAGATGAGAAGTCTGAGGAGCCCCAGGAAAGACCGGAGAGTCCCAAAGAGTTTCTTGATTTGGACAACCACAATGCAGCCACGAAGAGGCAAAGCTCGGTGGCAGCAGGGGAGTTCCTCTACGGAGCACCCCCACCCCACCTGGGTGCAGGGATGGGGTTTGGCCCGTCAGCTTTCCCTCCCCATGGGGTAATGCTACAGACTGGCTCTCCTTATGGATCTCGGCATCCTGCCAGTCACTTCCAGCCCAGGACGTATGGATCACCCATGAATGCCCACCCGTCTCACCATCCAGCCTCCAACCAGGCCAACGGCCTCTCTCAGGAGGGCCCCCTGTACCGCTGCCGAGAAGAGAACATGGGTCACTTTCAGGCCTTGCTGATGGAGCAGAGAGGCAGTGGAGGTGGCATGGGGGGGGCCACCCCAGGACTTGTATAGACCCTCGGGGTAAGACTGTGTTTTCTGCGAGAAGGCAAGGTGGGAGGGGGGTGTGATACCTGGGTGACAGTCACTGTTGGATATCCTTGAAAAGATGTGGCTTGAAGTCAGAGGAAATGGTAAATGAAGCTGAAAGTCTAACAGGTGGCTCAGACCCTTGGAGTAAGAGCTCTCCTACAATGGAGAGAGAGCCTCAATGCATCTCCTTAAAACAATCATGGAGAGCCTGTTAGCCTGCCCCATCCATCCCCACATCAGTACTTTGTTTCATCTAACAGTGTTTTGTTAATGTGTAATTCAGGGTTGTGCATCTCTTAGTCAAATGTACTCTTGCCATTTTCTTTGCAAGTGTTTTATTTCATCTTGCTTATAGTGGGGCAGAGTAGCTGACTAAATTGGAAGTTGGCCTCTTGTTATGAACTCCTTTAATGCTGCCTTCTTTTTCCCCTCCTCTTGATTCGCTCCTCCTCTCTATGTCAAATTTCCCTCACAGGAAGTTGCTTCTCACTGAGACTGTGCATATCACGTTTTTTTTCCCAAGTGGAAAATTCTGCTACTCCAAAAATTGCCTGTTCAGTTTTTACTGTTCAATTGTTACTGTTTTATCCTCGTCACAGCATGACAGTCCTTCCTTCTTCTAGTATTCAGGGAACTTGGATTACAGCTAAGCCTTTGGGGGGAGTAGCATGGATTAAGGGTTGTGTTTTGGGGAGAAACCAGACAGAGGAATACACAAGATTGCATGCTTGTATGCTAATGTTGTATGTATGCATTCAATGAAGTAGTTTGAACCAAGAGTAGGGATTTGCTCCTGATATTCATGTGCTAAAATTCTCTCCATTCAACCTGACTCCAGAATGCAAATGCATCAGGCTCAAGTTCCCTTCCCGAAGATGCCTACAGCAACAATGTCCCGGGAAGATCTGACATCACAAAAACCATCAGTGCTGCCTCTGGATCAAGTAAGGACTGCTAGAGAGAGCAGAGCTGAAATGCAAGTCTTTCTCTTCCCACTGGTTAAAGGAGTAAAGTGTTTGATTAGAGTGGGAGGAACTGGAGGAAGCTGGGAAATTAACTACTGCTATGCAAAGGAGTTGGGAATGTCTCTAAAGTCTTAGCTGACTGCAAAACATAACCTAGGCAGATTGATAGTGCTACCTTTGAACCGATTGCATGCAATCATGAGGTCACTCCTTTCTAAAGCTGCCAGTTAAAGCTTCCAACCCTTGTTCTTCCTCTTTCAGAGCTAGTCCGAGGAAGGAAGGACCTCATGAAGACGAAAGCCACACATGATTTGGACACCCAGGAGGAGGGGCAGGCCTTCCTCCCACCCTGCCCTCGCCCGAGCAGCATGTAGCTTCCTGGGTCTGTGGAACATGGTGCCGTGACGGCTTTTGTGTTGGAAACCCGGGGCGGTGCTGGGGCCCAGCCAGCCGAGCAGCTGGCTCCCCACCACAGGGCGAGCACCGCAAACTAGTGGCTTTCCGTGACCGGAGACTGCGTCTCATTCAGGGTTTGGGGGAATTTTCGGGTGGGGAGGGTGGGGGTGGGGGCGGAAACTTTCATTGACTGCTAAACTCAGGTATATTTTTCAGGGTGGAAGAGGACGATGACGAAATTTTACTTGTAGTATTAACGTGTGTGTTTTGGAGCTGGATCCAGTTTACAGAATTTAACCTGTTGCCTTTCTAAATAAATTTCTGTTGTTGGTGAATGTATTGTACATAATGGGGGAGGGGGTGGGCCCAGCTTGTAGTGGGCTTAGCACTGGAGGAATCGTTAACTGTTTACAATCATATCACACTGAAATCTTTCAGGATAGGGTGGGGGTTCAGGGGGGACCAGGGAGAGGTGAGGGAATGTGTGATGGATGACTTGCTGTCCTCCTTCCTGTCCTCTGCAACCAAGACATGACTCGACGGTTGGTTGACTTAATAGCATGAATTGCTCAGGAGTATAACATGTCCTCCACTTTCTCTTGCCTTCTTCCTCCTTCCCTTCTCACCCCCATCTCCACCCCTCTGGATCCAGGGCCTGAGTGCACTTCCAGCTCCTGTCATCATGGGGGAACAAGGAAACCAGGACCAGGAACTGAAACCAGGGCAGGACACTCATGGCATTGTCCCTTCTGATAGTACAGGACCCTTCTCCCTGCCTTTTTGTGATAGGAGAACCGTGTGCTCTAGGAAACAGAAAATGGCATAACTGGTCATCTTAAGACTTATTTTGGTGAAACCTGCACAGCTGTGGGTGCAGCAGCACCCATCCAGTAGAACAAACTTCGTGCAAATCTGTACTGCCCTGCTGCTTGAGGAGAGGAGCCAAGTCCCCACCTTCGTTTCTCTTACCCTGGGCTATATTCACTTCATAGCAGCAGCAAAGCAGAAAGTACCACAGGTTTCCTGACCACTCTTGCTTGCTGAGGAGCAGGAGCAAGAGGCTGCCTTGGGGGAATGGTAGGATTACTGCAGTGTGAGCCATTTGTTGGCCTGTGGAGTTGGATTTGGCATTCAAAAGTTGCAGGTGAATTAGAAAGCACTAGTTCAAAGTCAGGTGTTAAGGTGGCACAGCTCAGGGGCTGGGGGACAGGAGGGCTGCGTGCTCAAGTTGAGGTGGTTTTTTTGTCTTCATTGATGATGTAGCAGCAGGTCCTACAGGACTAGTGGCAGTTTCCCTGTGCACAGTCTGCAGGGGCTCTTCTCACCAGTACTGTACTCTGTATGCCAGCATCTTGACAACCACTGGTGTTCAAGGGAGTTCAGCAAGACTCCCATCTGCATTTATTCACATCTTAAAGCTAACAGTCACATACAGTTGGCTATTCTTGGGAGAGCTGGGGAGTTGTTACTCTACAAGGGTGGGCAGCAAGACTTGCTGGGACCATAACCTGAGTGGGCAGACAGCTGGTTACACTGGGGTGGGGACAGTGGTGCAGTTTACAGGAGGATGTGCCAGTGTGTCTGATAGAGTATGCTAGCAAGAGCACAAGTGGCAGCAGAAGGAAGACAGAGCAGCGTGCTCTTTAGTCTGTGGTACCAACATGGGGAGGGACTTTGTCTCCAGGTTTCTGGAGAGTTTTTCTGGCTGCTTTCTTGTCTTGGATGGTGCCATCACCTGAATCTTTAGCTGGATTTAACATCTGTGACTGCACCACCTTTGTCCCACTTCGTGCAGATCTACCACGTGCTGGCAAAGCTGTTCAAGCAAATGGCAAGTAGCATCTGACTGACTAGTTACTCCTTCTGTCCTAAGCTTTTGGAAGCACACAAAGCCTAAAAGATGAGAAATTACCCTTTCCTGAAATAATTAGAACATGGAAGGACTGCTGTGTTAGTGCCCTCTTACCAATGAGCCTCACTGCTCTGTTGCTGCAGTACTTTTGCCTCTGGTGAGCTGTGTAAGGCCAAGGCGTTTTCCAAGCCTAACAGGAGTTAAAATTCATCTTACAGCTGCAGTTCTCACCCTCTGCTGCAGCCAGCCTGTGAACTGTAGCTGCTGGCTGCTTAGACCAGTGAGTTGCCTGGGACAGCTGGCTCCTCTGCAAAGGAAGATGTCAGTGTAATGTGAATAACTTACAATATCTATCTATAGATACCATTACATTAGGAAAAGGAAAGTGATTTTTTTGGTGTGGTTTTTCTTTTCAGTTGTGTTCATCTGTCAGGGAGCAGTTGTCACTGGTGGATTGATATAAACTGGAATAGATGATCCTGAAGGTTGTCTTTTGACTGAGAAGTGGGTGACTGCTCTCCCCAGCCAAGAACATTATGCTGTGGCTCTTCTGAATTTGTCCTGTATCTGAGGGTTTGCTGCTGGCTCTTCAGCTGGTAGTTGGTTTTCAGAGGTGCCTCAGCTGCTCCAAAGGCAGCTCTTGGTCCTTCACTGAAAGGAGATACTGAAGCAGTGGTAGATATTTATAAAAAACTACTAGAACTGCTCTTCAAGACAATAAACCTGGGACAAACAAGAACGCAGTTGCTTCTCCTTGTAAAATAATCTTGGGTTCACTGTACATTTAAAAACAGATAAATGGTAAAATATAACTTGTAGCAAAGTATTCAAAACTCTAGAAATGTGAATGTAGATCCTTCAAACAATCCCTGCCATACTTCAGCCTGTCCTCTGTATCGCAGACAGCAACCCAAATATTTGAAGTGCCTTTCATTCAGCTCATTGTGAACGTTGTGGAACAGGAGGGTTTTAGAAGCTGTAAAAAGTCCCCAAGCAAGCTGAAGCACACTTCAGCTGGAACTGGCACTGAAAACATGGTTCTGGTGGTCACAGTGTCTAGATGAGTACCAAGCCCAGGCCAAAACAGAGGCTGAACAAGAAAGGCAAGAATTGCTTGTGGTCTGCCTGGAGAGCACAGTGGAGTGTTAGACAGTGATAGATACCCCGAGGAACCTGTATGGAGTGTGCAACAGGAAGATATTTTCCCTTACCTGACATAATGCAAGTCGGGGGGAAAGATTTGTCTTGCAGGTGGTAGTGAAGCTGTCTCCTCCTGGGAGGGTTTCTAGGTAAATGGCTTTTGATGTAGTCAGTAATTCTTATTAAAGAGACTAACAAGCTGCTGTTGTGAGGACAGATGGTTTCTGTTAGAAAAGTACTAATATAGCATAGGGGGAACAATGGCTGGGCTACAAGGGATAGAGCTATCCTGAAGACAGGACATGCTGAGATGGAGAGCTGGTTGTGGAACCTTAGCTCAGAATCTCCAGACTTACAAATGCTTTCTTCGTAAGTGGGGCTTTGGGGGTTTTCCTATTATAATGTCTAGGGAACCCCCCCCCCCAAAATTAGAGCTCTATTTTGCTAGGCACAATCAGCAAATCACAGAAAACTGGCACCCCTCAGAGGGCACAGGGCTCTGAAGACAGTGGTGGGGTGGAACACCAGTGGAAATGTACGGGGAGGAGCAGATAATGTGAATTTTATAGTTCATGGTTTCCCAAGCCATACTGCACAGGGGTGCTTTGTAGATATTATGAAAGAGACAGGTTTGAGGGATTTAGGAGAGAGTAAAATGGCAGCTCTTTATGTACAGAGTGGTGTTTTTTGCCATGAGTTGGCATGCAGTGCAGGAGAAGTGCAGCTACATTTTAAAATAACCTGGCTTTTGAGTGCCATACTTGTGTCACTGTCTTAAATAATATTTTAACACAATAGAGAGAAATTCTAGTCACTGGTTGGAAGCCCTCTGTCTCACCCTCCAGCTATTGTGTTGTAGCACAATATATTACCAGTTGGTCCTTTCTCAGAAAGCATCCTGAGCTGGTGACTTTGCAAAGTTTCCTGTAGCTATTACTTTTTCTATACAGAGGATGTATTTTGCTATAATTATGGATTTCATGTTAAACAAGACTATATAATACGCAGAACAAAGATGATGTTGGCCATGCTGAAGCATGACAAAATTTTCCAATATTCTCAGAAGAGCTTTGTATGCCACTGGCTTTTTAGCATCTTGCTCTCCCCACCACCTTGTCCTTTGTAAGTGGTGTGTGGTGTTCCCAAGCTCCCAGGATGTCAAGTTGCTTTTGCAAAGGCTGCTTTATAAACTGCCCCAGGGACTCTGAAGCTTTGGATGTCTTAGAGTAGGACAGGCCCAGGCAATTCAACTAAAAGGGCAGTCACTGAGGCTTCACAGTGACTTTTAGCTGTGTTTAGCATAAGTTTGCAGTCTGTAAATTCCATGGTGTATCCCACCAAACCACTCAGTAGCAATCCAAGGCACCAGCCTGCAATGAAGAGGACAAAAGGGGAAAGTAAATTTGAGGCTTCAAGGCCCAGCTGGTTGGATTTGTGACTTTTAAGTACATGGAGACACTTTTCTTGGAAGAGCTTCTGATTCTTTGTTGTCTGCCAAATGACTTTCCCATGCAGACTTTCCGAAGCAAATCGCCTGTGTATATTTTTGTAAGTGTGGTTTCTCGGGGTCTTGGAGAGCTATCAGCTTCTTGATGTCTTATCTGAAAGCTAGTCACAGAGGCTGTCTTTCATTCCACTGACTGAGGCAGCTCTCCTGAAGCTTCTCACCTCAACACTTCTCCATTTAAAATGAAAGTATAATTAGAAAACAACCTCCCTTTATTTCCTCCACTGATCTCTGTCAGGCTTTTGTGCATCTCTGTGTTCAGTTAGGGCTGTTTCTTTGTTCTTGATGGCTTTGTTCTGCTTTCTTTTTCCAAGAAGACTGTGTTGCTGTATGAACTGTGGAATTTCAGAGAAGGTGATGAACTGAGTGACAAAGAAGTGTCATCCCAAGGGGTGGCTTGGAGAAGAATAGCAGGGGAATTTGTGATGGTGTAGTTACTCCTGGTTCCCCTCACTGCAGAGCAACCACACAACTGGGCCTGCACTTAATCAGGGCAACCCCTTAAAAAGTTTTTACTGCGGTGCATCGGTGGCAGAGAAGTTTGCTCTTGCAGGATTCCTGTTTTGCCTTGAGTCGGGTGCTGGCTGTTGGAGAGCAGGTGTGTGGGAGCCGTATCCTTTCTGTAAGGCCGAGATTGAGATAGCAGGCTGGGAAAGTGGGGTTGCAGCTGCAGGCCATGTGACAAGCTTTAAGAGCGTGTGCTCATTGTAGCCGAGAAAGCATCTCAAACGTTGACCTTCCAGCCTTTCCCCATCTGTACCTGTTTAACATACAGATGGGGGTGAGCACACTGGGGCTTGGCAGGACCCCTGCCGCCCATGCGGAAGGAAAACGCTTTTAACCGGCACATAATGAACTGCGCGCTCCGGTTTTCACTCTCTGCCTGCTGCCCACCTCCCGCTCTGAAAAAGAGCTGGGGAGGGACCCACTTCCAGCTGTCTCCCCATAGGAGCTCCTGAGGATGACAAGAGCGAGGCTGAGTCCACCCCTAGGCAAGGAGGTTCAGGACAGAGGTTTTATTTGAAACTAGATGATAACATCCAAGTGTACCTTTGAAACAGAGGTTGTAGTGAGCTATGTGGTGCTGTTCCCTTTTTGGTGACTGTCCTGCCTCGGCTCACATGCAGGATTTGAGAGACCATGGAGCATTTTGTAGACTTAACACTGCTGGTTTGACATTGACTGAGGGCTCTTTTCCTTCATTTGCAGCAGTGGCCTAAATTTCTTTTGGCGAAGGTCTTCCTCTTTTTGAAGCATGGATATCAAAGTTGACTGTGCATCCAGGAGAGAGCAAGGGCTATGTCCACCAGTGGAAGAGGGGACAAAGGATTAATTAGGGCTGAAGCTTATTTGGGATTTTCACTGACTCTAGCAAGCCCCTCTGTCCTTTGGCCCTTTTATTTGGAAATACTTGGCTCACTTAGCAGAAGGGCAGTAAGTGGAATATCTTTTAAATAAAAGTGGAACTGGCTCTGTGTGGGTAAAATTCCCTTGTTGTGAACAAAGTTGGACCAGACAGCCATAAAGGACTCCTTTGGGCATCAAATGATTAGGAGGCACACAGACATCTGGTGCCCTCAAACATTTTGGAGCACGGCAGAGGAGTGATCTCCCTTTCTGAAGCCAGCCAAGGCAGCTACAGGAGCTCAGGCCTCAACTTCTAGTCTGAAAAGTCCTCTGATCCCCTTTTGTGTCATATGCCAACACTTCCCCTCTCCTTGCTTCCTAGCTTTCAAGTTTCTTTCCCTCTGCTCGCTTTGCTGCAGTCGGTTGCTGTCAAGTGCAGAGATGAAAGCTCACTGCCCACGCGAGCACGAGGGCAGAAGGTTGAACTTGCCAGCTGTCTCCTCTGCACAGGCATACAGACAGCAGGTGGGGAGAACACATTTACTCTCCTCATGAAATTAAGGTGTCCTCAGTGGCTCATGGGTGTTCTCTCGTGTGCCCCTGGGGTTTGCCACCCTGGCACAGCAACATCTGTCCCTCTGCCAGCACAAGGATTTGCTCCTGGTCCCTCTGCAGGGTTCCAGCACATGGTCCTGGCATGTCTACTTCCAAGGGGGTTTAGATTAAAAATATATACTCTGTACAACTGTGAAAACTCTTGTCTCTCTTCCATGATCTATCAATGAACATTGCTGCCTGATCTTTTTCCAAGCAATAATAATGTGCAGCAGTGCAACTTTGATGTTCCCACGCTGTTTCACGGAGTGCATGGCTATGAAACACGCTGCCGGGCTTCACAGTTTCAGTGGGAAGCAAGGTGCTTTCTGTGGGCCCTGCATTTTATCTGTGCCGCATTCCTGCTTTCCCAAAGACTGGCAGGTTAATTTAGGTAGCCCTGAGAGAGCTGGTTGCTGCTTCTGTGTTTGGGAAGGCAGAAAGAGGAAGGGAGCAAGCTGGTAAAGTTGAGCCTCATCCACAAAGCAGAGCACATGTAAGAGGGGTTACCTGTTGCTGCCGTGGAGCAAGGGGTGGGTGGACCACTGATTTAATGCCTCTGGGGGAGGAGAGTGACCCACTGCTGCTTCACTTGGCATTGTTGGGGGAGGCAGGAGAGCCAATGCCACTATGTCCATTCATTTTTCTGAAGTTGGGTAACATTGTTTTTTTGGGGTTTTTTTGTATTATTGTAAGTTTGTAAAGAATGTAATCTGTCTGTCGGGGGCACAAGGAGAAAATGGGGGCCTTTCTTTTTTTGGGTGAGGCTGTTCTTATGTTGCTGTGTTTTTTGTTGTTGGGCAGGGAGGGGTCTAAGAGGCCATGGGGCAAAAGCCTGGCCCTTGTCAACTGCTTGCAACTGTCCCAGGGCAACGGGAGGGTGAGCTGATGCTGCAGCAGAGACCTCCCACACCAAGCTGTGAAAATGACCTCTGCCTGTGTCCCTCTGTGGGGGGGTCTGACCTGCGTGGGGTTCTGCACTGGCACGCCTTGCTGGGGGTGGGATGTAACACTCAAGGACTGGTCTTGCTTGTCTTTGACTCAAGTAGAAACTGGGCTGGGCAGCTGCCCGTGCTATTTATGGAAGGCTGGATTTAATGGCCTTAGTTTCTCAGTGCAAGAAGGAGTTCATGCTGGAGCTGCTCGCCCCAGCGCTTCTTTCCCCATCAGGAGCTCAGGTGCTGCACCTCTCCCATCACCTGCTGCCCAGGAGCCCTGGTTCTCACCCCTGCCTCCCTCCCCATCCCGTAGAGCACAGTGTCAGGGATCCTCTTCTCTCTCCTGCTGCTGCAAAGTTGTGTGAACTTTCCTGGTCAATACTGGAAAGGGGAATGCTATTTATTTTTATATTGTGTATATTTTGTCTTGGTCTGCTGATTACCTTTGTTCCCCAAGAGCGACAGTTACCTCAATAGTTAGTTTAATACTGTGTGTTGGGTAATTTTTTTAAAGAACTTTTTTAAAATCTTGATCCTTGGAGGTCTGTAGATTTTATTTCCATATAAATTGGTTATTTTGTATAAAGTACATTCTTAAAATAGCAATCACCCTTGCCGTATGTGTGTTTTCTTGTCTCCTGGATGGTCTCCCTCTTCCTTTGTGAGGGGAAACGGAGGGGGGCGGGATGGTAACACAGAGGGCTTTTTTCAGAGACAAAGCCCTGAACTGCA